CATTATGTTCATTTACTGATATAGCCACTCCACCTTTCTTTAAAACACAATGGATAGGGCTAACATAGGCACTATCTGAAATGCAATAGATAATATCTACATCCAACCACTTCAAAATATTCTTTTTTACAAAATTTTTCATAACAAGGTTTAATCTCTTTTGTGGATTTGCCCGAGGTTTAAGCTTATCTTCTATCATGATCCTATGCATATATATAGAAGAGCTAATCTCCTTTATGTCTGCTAAGCTCCATCCAAACACTTTCTTAAAACTCCTCAGAACATTCAGTAATTGTTCCTCCTGTGTGTTAGTCAAATATGAGGATATGATAACTGGAAATGTAGATGACCTCCAAAATAAGCATACTTTAAATATTTGGGAAGCACCTTCAACTCAAGTTTAGTGGGTTCCTCAATAGAAGAAACAAGAGGTTTACAATTTTCCGTTGTATCAAGTATCTCAAATCTCTCCCTAACTATTTTTGGAGTTTCTTTAACCAATATAGGAGATTCATCCTCAATATCTGCTATTTCATCCTCGATCAAAATTTACTCCTATGGTTTCACAACATTCTTGGAATTGATGGCTTAACAAATGATCTATGAGACCCAACCTACAACATGAATCTTTATTACAATCAGAAGGGAATTTCATAGATTTTAACGCGTTGAATGTTACCTTCTAATCATTCACTCTCATTACTAACTCTGCCTTTTGCACGTCAATCATAGCACAGTCAATGATTAGAAAAGGTTTGCCTAGTATGATGGGCATCTCCTTATCTTCCCTATATCTAATGCAATGTAATCAACAAAAAGATGAATTTATCCATCTTCACTAGAACATCCTCTATAACCCCCTCGGATAAGCGATCAATCGATCAGCAAGTTAAAGGGTTACAGTGGTAGAGGTCACCTCTCTAAATCGCAACCTCTTAGAAATAGACAATGACATAAGTTAATATTGGCACCCAAATCACATAAAGCCTTCCCATAGAAATTTTCTCTAATTGCACATAGAATAGTAAAGCTCCCAGGATCCTTAAGCTTCTAAGGAAGCTTCTTTTGATTGAAAGCACTGCACTCCTCACTGAGTGTCACAGTCTCATAATGTCCAAAATTTCTCTTCATATTGAGTATATCATTCATGAACTTCACATCGTTGGGCATCTGCTCCAGGGCCTCAACAAACGGGATGTTAATGGTCAGTTTCTTGAAAACTTCCAAGAATCGTGAAAATTGTTGATCTAGTTTTTGTTTTTGGAGTCTCTGAGAAAATAGTGGTGGTGGACTTTCTATATTAATCCTAGTGGGTGAGACTAGTCTTCCTAAATCCTTGGAAAGGTCTTACAAAGGTATTTTAGGTTCCCAGTCCTCTTTCTCCACCTCATAATCTTCTTGGACCACTTCCTCCAACTCGTCCACTCCTCAATTTGACAACCCTTACATGCTCACTATTCTTCTCTTTAGGGTTAATCTCAGTGTTACTAGGAAAAGTTCCTTAGGTTCGACTGCTAAGTCAGCTCGCAATCTATCTGAACTGGTTCTCTATGTTCCTAATAACTACACCTTGGCTTTGTAACAGATTTCCCATATGCAAAACAACTTCTTTCAAAGACAACTTCTCCTTGAAATGTGAGTTAGAATTAAATCTTGGAGGATAAGAAGAACTCAGGTTCAAACTGCCCTAATTGTTCCAATTCCAAAAGAGTTTGTTGATTACTTCCCCATTGTTGGTTTCCTATACCTTGATCATTATTCAGATTGAATTTTGAGTGATTCTTACAACTGGGATTGTAATAGTTAGAATACAAGTTTTTTAATCTATTGTTAATTGCATTTTGAGTTTCAAGAGATGAAGTGTTAGCATCAACCAGTTGTCCAAATCAATTTTCGTCAAAGACTTGGGATCCTTGAGGCTGGTTCATGCCAAACTGGTCTAACTTTTTAGAAATACCAACAACTTGAGAAGTTAAAATTGAAAGCATGTGAGTATCGTGAAAACTTACTTCCTTTCTAGGGTTCACTCTCTCACAAAGCCATTGAAAATTGTTTATAGCCATCTCCTCAAGAGAATAAGCCTCTTCAAATGGATTTGACATAAGTGACCCACCGACAATGACATCTATAATAGACTAATAGATCCTGCTAAACCATTGTAAAAAGTCTGATTATCAACCAATCGGGCAACGCGTAATGGGAACACTTCCAAAGAAGTTTTTTGAATCATTCTCAAGCTTCATAAATCGACTCACCTTCATATCAGAAACATAAAGTAATATCAATCCTCAATTTAGTCATTTTTGAAGGTAGGAAATACTTAGCTAAGAATTTCTAAGCTAAGTCATTCCATATCCTAATTGATCAAAGTATAATAAGTTTAACCACATTTTGACTTTTTCCCTCAAGGAGAAAGGGAAAACCCTAAGCCGAACTGGTAAGTTTGGATACATTGTTGTAACGAAATGTGATGCAGAGTTCAAAGAAACTCGCTAAGTGTAAGTTTGGATCCTCAGACGAAGTTCCCCCAAATTGGTTGTTATGTATCAATTGGATAATAACAAGTTTTAGTTTGAATGAGTTAGCTTATACGACAGGGGTCTGAATACTTAAGTGAATTTAATTTGTCTTGGGATTAGCATAGTTTCTTAATGATATATTCGCATCATGAATTGGTCCATGGGTTGGGTCCTGAATTTCTAGGTTGTTATGTGGGTTGTTCACTATATCTCCTATGAGTTATTCAAGTCTAATTTATTTTCTGATTTATCTAATAGTTTTCTCTAACTCAGAATCATATGGTGCAAGTCTTGTAGGTCTTGAACTACGCATACACAAATTAGAGAATCTAATAGATCATACTCACACATAATCAGACACAAATATTTTTTATTTTTCTTGGTTTTTTCAAAAAGATTAAAAACAATTTAAACACAAGCAATTAACACTAAAGGTTATCGAAGTCTAAGACCTAAAGGTTCAACTAAAATTCTTTTAATTTAAATCATTATTGATTTCCGGCAACGGCGCCAAAAGCTTGATATCCGCTTCCAAGTGCACTCACACTCTGGGGGCTCATGCAACTGTACGTGTTGTATCTGTAATATCGGATTTTTGAGTCTGGAATGTCAATCCCACAAGGAACGGGGGAATTAGACTTAGGAAAATTTTTAGCCTACTAGTATCGTTCCTAGCTTGGAATTTATGTTAGGCTAAAATTCTACAAACTATTCTTACTATATCAAAAACAATTTCAAAGTTTAAATCATACAAAAATACTACTTAACTTAGTTATTTGATTGATAAATATCAAGTTCTGTCCTCCCTTGCAATGATTTAAGTAGAGTATAGGAATTGTAAAGTATTAATTATAAATTCGGCTAGTGACAAATAAGATCAACTCTTTTATTTACTCTCTTTCGAGTACCTAAAGAAGATTGGTTAAATGATTTTAATTCTTTAATTCTCATTTTAAATCCATCAAAGAAAATTTCCCAAACATTTGCATCTCCCTACGAAGCAGATCCACGTATACTCCACAGTTCAATGTGACTAACCTAGTTGATTCTTCCATAGCTCTCCCGAGTCATTATGATTCACAACACAATTTAACATTTCATTTGGCTAGAATGAAAGGTAAACGAAGATCGAAGGTTAATCATCACATTAAGTAATTTAAGAAAATAATTTTGAAAATGTTTTGCACTCCTACACATCCTACTCAATTATCACAATGTATGGTAAAGAGTACTACTCAAAAAGCACGAAGAACACTAACAAAGAGCTACTGACAGTGGGTTGCAGGTAGCTACGAGTGGTGGCGACGAACAATGGGTTATGAGAGGTGGCAACGGACAGTGGGCTACAGGTAGCGGTCGATGTCGGCGGGCCGACAAGAACGGGTGACGGGCTGCAGCGGTTGATGGGACTCGTTGTTTTTAGTGTTTTAAAATAGGTAAAAATATATTTTTTTTCTATTTTGAGTATTTTAAAAAAATAAGTGTTCCTCCTAAAAATAAAAAATTAAAAATAATTATTGAACACAAAGAGTTAGAAGTTTCAAACTAATACTTTATATTTATATTAATCCCAACCAAACTCCCAAAAATCCAAATCTATACATCTGAAATACAATGCTCTTTAAACTCAACGCAAGTAACCTCTAAAACGAGAAGAAAATATCACAATACAATTCTAAGCGGGGATGTTTAAATGCGATCATCAAGTAAATAGTGTGAACAATTTAAAAACTCTTTACGTTCTTTACAAATTTTTGCCCTTCATTGCCAACTTATTGGAAAGTTACTCTAGCAATTCTATGATTGGACGCTCATGAGTAGGAAACAATATTGTGTCAGGAGTTCGAATACAAATTATGTCTAGACAACGGACGCGATGCACGGACAAACCAGAGGGAAAAAAAAAAAACTTGCCTCCCCGTGCACCACAAACATTGTCCGGATGCAGCAATATTTTCTCGACAAACTATGTACAGAAGTCAAAATAAATTTAATAAAATCAACTCACTCCCCCTTTTGGGACTTTGGCGACAAGAAACCAAGAAGTGCGAAAAGCGAAGTAAAACTTGATTTTCAAAGAAGTTATTGTTTTAGACTTATTGTCATGCACACAAAGGATTATTTAAGATTTAATTGGGAAGAGGTTTTGATTATTTAGGAATAAGAGAAGTTGCTTGCTTAAACAAAAGGGGGGAATTTACATATACATCACACAACTCTCATGTATTATTTTATTTACATATCTAACCCCCTAAACTTTAATAATTACATTTAGAACACTTTGATATCTAATGCATGAAGAAGTTTATTTAACTTTTGAAAAGCAATTGATGGTAATATTTTTTATATGAAGTCAGATTTGAGGGACATGTATGTAAACATCAAAATTTAGGTGTTAGATATGTCAATATGTAAGAATTAGATGGTATGTATGAAAATGCCACGAAAAAAAAAATGAAAATGATCAAAAAAATAAAAACATCCCAACAAGTTATACTGTTCATGATTCCAATAAAAAGGAGGGAGATTTATTTGACCCTCTCAAATAACTACATTATAAAAGTCTTGGATGTAATTTTAGTTGCCAAATATATGTACAGAAACAAAGACATACAAATTTAGTTCACAATTTCTTCAAATAAAGGCTCTGCTGCACAAAACCAGGCTACCTGAAGCTATTCTCTGCCTCTGCTCCCATACCTCTAGAAGAAGGTCCTCCCTACGCTGCAGCTGAAGATACTCATCCATGTCAAACGAATAGCCTCTTTCTGGAACAACTGGCTTGTTCCTCTGGCTTTCGGCTGCACCAAGCCTGCTAACATTTGCTACTTCTCCAGAAATGGCACAAAAGCCTTCATGGATTTCAGGGCTCCAACTCCCACTAGCACTATCTGAATTCTGAAACAAAGCATGAATATTTGAACCTGTGAGACTCATTACAGAGCCTAAAAATAGTATGGGGACTGTAGAGAAGTTAATAGTCTTTCGTACAACTAGGAAACTCGGGTTCAAAACACTCTTCCCCTCAAGAAAATATTGCGTCTTTTCTATAAACAAATAGTCTTTTCTGCAACCACCGGGCGACGGCTCGGCATGGCCGGGCGCGACCTCAATTTGCATGCCTAGCTGTTGTCCAGCAGTTGGTCATCCAAAGGTGCAGACGATGGACGCAATATTTTCTCCCCTTCTTCCCCTCCCACTGATTAAAAAAAAAGGCCCAAGTGCTCTAGGTGCAAAAGGCAAAGTTACAGTTAGGCTAGTCATGATGCAGTAGGGTGAAGGCTGAGGTTATAAAAAATGATGAAAACAATTAAGTAGACTGTTATCATTATTAAGCTTATGCCGGCATAGTAGGATTCCTTTTATGAATTCTTATTCCCAGTTTATTTCTACCAAGTGTTGTAGGACTTGTTGAACCTGTTCTTTGTATATCATTTTGGGCAGCTTTGTCCATCGTGGCCATAGATCTACCTATTTTCTATCTTAATCCTTCAACTCAAATTTATCTATGCCAATAACTGGTGCATTGTCTATCATTCTAAGTGTAAGTCCAAACCATTTAAATCTATTTTCAATTTAAGTATCTTCAATAGATACTTCCAGTATCTCTTTAATATAAAGTTTCTTAATTTATCATTCCTAATTTTGCAAATATGTACAATTTAGCGTTCATTTTTGAATAGCAGTTGCGGCGGCAATAGTGGTAGAAAATGATAGAAAGCCATTTTAAAAAACACTCAAGATACCTGAAAGTTATTTTGAATATTTAAGAAAAAAAAAATCATTTATTTTAAAAATATAATAAAAACAATTAAAATTATACAAAACAAAGATGTTTTTTAAAAACAAAAAGCAAATATTAAAAATAAGTGTCCGCAATAGGAAATTACATAACCAATACATAGTGCATCGTCTCCAACTACCAAAACATTAAAAAGAGTAGACTTAACGTAAAACACTATCTTTTAAAGATGCATAGACTAAGCAACCTTTCATCAAGGACATGGCCCTATAAAAAACAAGAATATTATGGCAAACCAATAGGCAGGTTCAACACTTCAGTTAGGTGTACATAACTAAAATCATGAAAATTTACAGCAAGCCAAAAAATGGGAAAGAAGTACCAAGGAGCTACTGAAGAAAAAATCAAATGCCACTCCTGTACGACACAAGGAGCAAAATCACTATTAGAAATTCAAGGAAAATGATGCAACAAATGTCGCATTCCTAACAAATTGATTCCAATATATCTTTTTCATTAGCATAAAGAGAAATAATTTAGTGGCAGAGACAGTGATACCTGCTTAATTGCTGTCTTACTTTTACAAGGTGAAGGAGAAGAGCTATTACTAGTTTCCCATTGCAGCCACGGAAACATGACACCATCTGTCACAACAGGAGAAGAAGCAGCCCTCAGTAGATCTGGGTGTATTCCCGCCTCATCATTATTAATGGCATCGCTCGGCTTAGTAGTTGATCCCGTATCACTCCTTTCTCCTTCAAAGGATGATAAATCAGTATCTTCCACATTTGATAAAAAATCCTCGAAGTATCTTTCAGCCTCTTCATCCAAATATTTTGAGATCTTCAGTTTATCAGTGCGTTTCTGATTTCAAAAAGTAAAATTTGGAGAGGAAAAAACTGTTATCACTTGCTCTCCTTGTTAATATTTGATTGCGTGCAACTCAATAATTAGTTCAAGTTTAATTAGTCATCATTGGATCGTATATTTAACAAGCCAGCATTAACAAGGCGTTGTTAGATCGCAATTGGATTAATGCTAGCTTATTTATGTTTGTTTTACACAAGTATAAGCATATGTATGCATGCCTACACACACATACATACATGCATGCATACTTGAGCTTGACAACATGCATATTCTATAACTTAAATGTGACTTTCAGATATATACCATGTTCGTGGCCAGCTCAGATTCTACTTCATGAGTAGAGCCATACACAAAAAAGGCCAGTTTGCTCAACGAGCCAAACCGAATAACTAACAAAACTATACCCATATCAATCATAGTAATTTGAACATTGTCAATTTAGGAGTAGATCACCTTTGTAGATGGTGATTGTTTTGTTGGCTCAGCTATTTTTTTGGGAGAGGAAAGCAACTCTTTCACAATTTTATAGAGCTCTTGACCACGTTTCTCCTCAATAGCCAGTGCAGCTAGCAAATCCTGCTTGCGTTTCTCAGACTGCAGACATTAAATAATTTAGTGAAATTAAATAGAATACTATAAAAGATGAACATAAATTGCAAGTGCAGATCATGAAGATTTGTAAGAAAATTATATAAGAATATCAAATCTCAAATAAAGAGAGGTGATTAAGATAAAGAAATGCAAAATTTAAACTAAGGTGATTAAGCAAAGTGATGCCCAGAAGCACCAAAGTTTAAACTAAGGTGATTAACTACTTAAGGATTCAAATAGATAGTTGAGTGTTTTTGCTCTTTTTGGACTCCCTGATTCCAAATTAAGAAATTTAGCTGTGTTCATAAGCACCAAAATTTTAAAGGAGGCGGGAAGCAGAGGGTTAGGAGGTTATTATCCTCTCTCTCTCTCTCTCTCTCTATCTCTCTCTCTCTCAATCACACACACAAACAAACATCTAATAAAAAATTATAACTCTTTACTTTCACTTGGTATTAGCTAGTAGTTGTCTCCCATCATTACACAAAGAGTGAGATTTATAAATTAGGTTTCAATTAGCTTCATTGAAAGGTAATACACTTTTCCATCCCCTCTAATTTCATATTGGCAAGGTTTTGAGTTTGCATAATGACATTAAAAAGAATAAAATCCTATTTTTCCTAGCAATTGCACAACTCTTCTACACCATCAATTTCAAATAACTATTAGTCATAACACATCATTGAATCAAAATAATGAGTAATTGATGCAAATCATTCTATGTATTTCATACCAATGAAAAAATCTAGACAAGGATAGAAGAGATGATTGGCTCAAATTGTTTTCAAAAAAACTTAAGAGTTGTGTTTTTGACACATTGATGTCTGAGCTTTAAGAAAAAAAAATTATCTATAAATACTATTTAGATCTGATAAACCATTTGTATAAATCAACAAAGTCCATCATTGGCTAGCCATATAGCTCAATGGCTTATCTTGTCCAATAGGCAATATCTAGCACATCCTAGAACATCATTTCCTCCTTGTCAAATGTCTTTCCTATTGAAAGATTGTAACAGCTCCCATCCTCAAATATATGTCAAACAAAGTGATTGTTATCTAATGCCCATTTTGGTATGTTAACTCATCAAGTACAAACATATCAAGCCCCCCATCATAGATTAGCTCTATAGCCCAATAGTTTTCCCTATACAATAAACAGACCTACATCTAGCACACTCGGATTGGGAGAACAACATTTTCTTCTTGTCAAATGTCTTTCCTATCAAAAGATAAATGTTTGTCATCATGAAATTGACAGATTTCTAACTATCAAATTGTTGTGATCGAGGTAGCAAATGAATATAAGACTATAATTTATACATGCATTATGCACGCATAAAAAAAAACTTATTATTTTCTCAAAAAAAAAAAAAATTCTTCGCTAGCTTTTAGCCAAAGTTGCACAAACATGTCCTTTTATAAGGTCGTCTCCAAAGTGCTTAAACTAAATTGTGTGTCTCTCTTTTTTTCGTTATGAGTGCATGCGTACATTTGTGCGTGTGATGGGAGAAAGGAGGTGGTAAGGACGGTGTTGGTATGGAGGTTGTCATTAGGTCACCTTCCCTATTATAGAGAAAAAACTCAAATCAAGAGAAGTAGAGATATGTTTAAGAGCTTGGACTAATTAATGAAGTTGCGGAGAAACAAATTGGGGATAGAAAAACATTAAGCCTTTTCAAAATGACAACTTGTGAGGATCTTTGCTAGACTATATTACACATGTTCAGTCCCTTTCAATCTCTTACACAGCCCTGATTATAAGAACTTTCATGTAATTATAGGGGAGTTGTCATACATGAGAACAAAATATCATAAAAAAAATGGTGAGCAGAAAAGAAACATGAATAAATAAGGTAATACTTCTTAAAATAAGAATTCATAATTGTAATTAACTTGGACACTAGATTGTTTTAGGACTAACTAAATCAGGTTTCCACATTCCAAATTCAAAGATAGTAACATGTAGGCTTGTAAACATTATAGTTTGCAGTGAGATTCCTTTCTAAATGTTTAAATGAAGGGAAGGAACATACTGAGAACAAGAAATTAATAGAAATGATGGTGGGTAGAAAAGAAAATTGAATAAATTAGAAGAAATTCAATAAAGTAAATTCAGATATGGTGACGTTAACAAATTTGCTACATTCCAAATTCGGAGGTAGTATCATGTAGACATGTAAATATTATAGTTTTCATTGAGGTTTTGGCGTAAATGTATGATGAAACAAACAATAGATCTTTCACTAAATGAAATGCACAAAGCCAACCCACGTCTTCTTTGGCAAGCCTTTCTTGACACAAACTGATGTTCCCAAGTTCTTAGTCACCAATGATGAAAAGAATGGAAGGTTTAAATTTTAAAATAAAATGGTCTCACTAAATAATAGGTTTTTCAAGCAAACAATAAAATAGAGGCCTTAAATAGCTTACTGATGTAATGCCTTCTAATTGATATGAAGGAAAGGAATAGGCAGTAAATCAATAATGTGATTGATAATACAATAGCCATAAGCAAAATGACAAAATTACTTGCGATGACAATGTTAAACTCATTTTGCATTCAAGGATCCATGCCACTCAAATTATTCATAATAATTCCTCCTAAGTCCTGTGATAGTGCTAAGAGAAGTTCTACCCGAGTAAGCTCGTGTTACATCTAAAGATCGATGTCTGTAATAATTTGTCACAACTCCTCTAGAATTCAATGATAATGCTAAGACAAATGAGTCAATTTGCTAAGTGCCAATAAGATGCTAGTTTGCCATAGGGATAACTTTTTAACCACGAACTTCAGAAAGTTCAGAAAAAGAACCTGACAATGGAAGAAAACAAACGCATCACACTCTACCTCAAAAATGTCAAATCGAGCACCATACATCATAGGCAAGCAAACATTATAAGTGCGACAGGAAAAGCTAGATGTATGCTAGAATAGATCAATAATTTCAAAAACATAAATTGAAATCCATACAGCCAAACTACCTTTTCAAGCTCCCTCAGTTCTTCTACCAAATTTCGTTCTTTACACTTATTTTCATAGGATCTGAAGCCACCATCTCCAGCAGGGTGATCTGTCTGATATGTGGAACACACATGTAATAGAAAAAGATTATCACAATCCTTTTTCTCATAAAAAGGCAACAAAAAATGTGCGGTAGTTTGAACTCCACAATCCCCCAAATATCACAATTAAAATGAAGCAGGATAAACTGAAACAAGGGTGCACTTTTTAACCCACCTTTCCAAGGTAATAAACTTCTTGTATTGTCTTCTCATTCACACTTACACTTGAACGAGCATCTTGTGTTTCATCATCAGTTAGGGATGATGAATGGCTCTGAAAACACGGACACTACAATTAAATTTTTTAAAATTCTGAATGCACGCTGTACAAATGCGAACCTCCCTTAGAAAAATTTGTCTCTCCCTATGTATCAAGAATGACAAAGCAAATTTAAAAATTCATTACACTTACTGAGCAGCAATCCTGTGATTGGAAGAAATCCTTTTGACTCATTGAAGTTCCTAAGGCATGGTCTTCACTAGTCTGCTTATGCAATGAAGGCTTTTGAAGGCCCCCACCAGTAGAATTCACTCCCTTCTTGCTCAGGGGCCTGAATTTACCAGTTTTATCAACCTGCAATCTCCAAACGAACAAAAAGAAAACAGATATGTAGATATAATCAATAACTAAAACAAAAGCAGACCAAGTTTAGTTTGGAACCATTTCCTTTAGGAGTAAGTTATACGATGAGAATATAACACTGGCTAAGCTATTTGAAAGTAAATTAACAATCTGAGTCAAAACAATAAGGATGACCTTTAAAACAATTTTCCGTGACAAAACAATGCTGTTACAGAAGATTAGCACCAAAGAAAGTTCCCATCTCTCACAGTATCCAAACCATTTTAATGAATAGCAAACCACTCAAAGGAAAAATGAACAAAAGGTTGTTATTTTAGGTATGTTATACAGAATACATTAGCAATTCACAAATGAAATTTAAAAATAAACAGACACATGGCTTTTGTCTGTTTATATTTTTACAATACACGTTTCCTTTTTCCTGTAGGTAAAGTTGAGCGAAAAATTAAAAGAACTGCAGCATTTTCCTGCCTTTAATAGTATCCCCATTTTAGGTAGTAATAAGACAACCACTATGCTGGTGTAAACTATAACAAGGTCCCTCAAGCTAAACCCGGATAATAATACATTCTGTCTACTTTTAAAATTGTACAATTAAGGGCAGACAGATTAGAGGTAACATGATAATGTATGAAATTGAAAGCAAGGAAAGCATAAAATTAATCAGCATAGCATGTAAAGCTCACACAGAATGAATCGAATGTGATGCTTTCAAATACAGATCCAAATGATCAGGTAAGTGCCAAGTCTGATGATGACCAAATGGCAAAAATATGGCCATAAAAACCAAGATGTTACAATGGCCATTTGCTCAAATTTCTCCCACAAAAGGTTATTTGGATTGCAAAATTCTAAACCATTTAACTTTTACCAAACATCTCAATTAGAAGATGCATTCAAGGAAAAAACATGTCATTCCTACAGACTTTAGAACTGTTTGAACCAGTTTTTAGTTGTCGAACAACTCACAACTTGAAGCCTTTCAACACAATGCAGATTTACCTCCAATTCGCTAACCCGAGATCGAGAAACTGAAGCAGATCGCCGTGGCCTCGAATTCCCATTATTGCCAGAAAACCCCTTCCCCTTCGACGCCGCACTATCAGCACGATGCCTCGACACCGACCTCCCTCGCCGACGAGAAGACTCCGTGTCCGCCATCAACCTCTCCCCAATCACCCGGCGACTAGATCGACCAGCCGCAGGAGCAGCATCCTCCTCGCACTCCTGCGCCACCGCTTGAAAGAACTCGTCGGCGAGATCATCAAGACTAATGTCAAACTCGGAACCCCTCAACTTGTTCACAAACCTTCCTCTCGGCGTCTCATATTCATCGATCTCCGGCGACGGGGGTGGGAATCGACCGGAACAGCGGCTCAAGCTCCTCGACCGCCGGAGGCAGCCAGCGTCCGCCGGGCTGCCGGTGGAGGAGCGCCTGCCTTTCGATCGGAATGCCGCACTCGCCATTTTTCGAAGAAAATAAATGGTTGTTTCAAGGGATGGAATCAGAGCAGATAGGTTTCGAGTCGGGCATTTTGAATGCTTGTCATTGCGGATCCAAGCAGATGGTGAAATTGGAGAAGAGGCAGAGGAAGAAGCGAACAGTGGATATACTCACGCTGCTTTTTAGGTTTTTATCGTTAAAATTTCATGACATTGGGGCACTGGGTGCAAGTATTAGTATAAGCGCGTAACGATATCATAATTTGAAGAGAAGATTACCGGAAATTACGTGGCTACCCCTAGTCGCAGGCAACTGCGAAACTGACACGAGCCTTTAAAAATTTGGCGGAGGGTTGGTTCGAAAAGTAATTTTATTTGAATTTGACTTTGTTCTACATTTTTCTTGAATAATGTATTTACAATTTATTAGCTGTATTTGGCTTAAAATTGAAGCGTTTAAATTGGTTCGAAAAATAATTGCTGGGTGTTAGATTTAAATATTGATTATTTTTATGCAACAAATGATATAAGATCATATGGCTTCAAAATAAATATATATAATATATTATTATATAAATAATATATATAATTTTCTTATTTCAATCTAAACAGGAGCGAACAAGATCGTATAAAAAGTTGTTCGTGTTCGGCCCGTTTATAATTCGAGTTTGAAAGAAATTTGTCCACGTTTAGCTTGCTTGCTTGCTTAACGAACGATTTGAATAATCAAACACAAGTTATATGTAAACACAAGCTTTTGTAACAACCTTATCTACTGTATCTCAAATCATGACGTAAAATATAAGGGATTTACACAACTAACACTAAATATCTATTTATTGAAGTATCAAATATCTAGAAGTTATTATATAAAGTTATAGCACCTAAATTATTGTAGCTCATTAAAGTTGTATTTGGGTGGCAGTGTAGTGTCGCGCCACAATTTCAAGAGTTTGGCAAAATTGTGTTTTGACTGTTTGTTCAACAAGTAATCATTCGCAATGTAACTTAACTAAATGTGGTGACTGCCAGAAAATTACGGTATGAATTTTATAAAATTAAAAAAAAAAATTTAATAGACATCATAAATTGTTGAACATCTATTTCTTCTACAACAGCTACAGCTGCCCCATATGGACATTAAATCTGCACTTAGTCGTTATATATATGACGGAGAACTCTATCGCAAAAAATTCATTTTCTTCTCAAGGTTTGATCTCATCATTGTGAGCGAAGTGTGGGGCAACAAAGTGAAGTGCTGGAGCAAAATTAGGAGTGGGACAAAAACATGATAGGTAGATGTCGCCAAGGAAGTCCGAGAGTTTAATCAGAATGGCATTGTCACTTCGTGCAAGGTGTGGGGGTAATCGAAAGAGATGTTCGAGCAAGAGCGGGAGTGGGAGTAAAGAATGATAGAAATTCGATCATCATATTTCAACTGTTATCAGCAAAGTTAAAGAATTTAAACAAAGAGATAATGATACTCTAATGAAATGATTCTTACTTATCTTCCTTCTGTTGTTCCCTGCAATTGTATTCATCATCGTGAGAATGTTTCAACTTCTAAGATGTAACATCCCAATTTGTTCTCTACTTTTCAAATGATCTGTAATGTTTGACACTCGGAAAATTTAATATTGAATCCTTACATAAATCAAAGCTATATTCTAATTAACTTTTTAAAAGGTGAGTATGTGTAACTATTGGAAAAATTCATTGGCAAACAAAAAAAAAACATTTAATTATAAAGATGTTACTACACTCTAAAATCATATATATTGAATTAAACCAAAAGCTTCCTACATTTGATTAGAACCATCACAAGACCATTTGCATAATGTATACTATAATTCATATGAACTAATAAGACATTTTTTAGTTTGTTTCTATGCACATCACCTCAGCTTATTAATTTGATTTCAATTTGTATTCAATAATAATTTTTACTCTAATTTTATCTATGATTCTTTTTAGTTAATGAAGATTTTATCTATAGTTCATTCTATGCATGTCTATTTAAAATCAAAAGTTAAGAGTTTAATATCAAGATTTTATTTTATTTTAAGGAAAATTTAGTAATTTTAAAAAAAAATTGAACACCAAATGAGCAATTAAAAGTATTTGGTAGCTTGTTCAATTTTACCTACTTTGGATTAATAGCTAAAACTATAAGATGATTAAATGTTGTAAGTTGTTCATTCTAATTGTGGTGCTTAAACTTCTTGTTGAGAAAATCTACCTTTGAGAATTTTCATTATCAATATAGACTTTCTGGAAATACAATCTTCAGGACTTTTACAATTTTTACTTTATTTTCATTTAGATAAATAATAGACTATATTTTTCTAATGAACATTACATTTCCAATGTCTCTTTATAGGATTTGTGATGGCAAATAAAAAATAGTGGATTTAGTGCACCTTTAAATTTGACAAATTATGAAGTATTGTTAAAAATGAAGACAGAAAAAATAATAATAAGGAAACAAACATAAGGCAATCAAGCTCAATAAATAAGTGTTTAGTTTTCATATGTTTTTAAAGGAGGTTGAAATAATTTGCCCTTGGCTACAAGGGTGTTGTTATGAATTATACCACTATGTTTGGTATCTCTCCTAAAGAGTATATACTTATGAGATCTGATTGTGAGTGGATAAAAATAATGAGACTATATGATGGTTATTTTCTAGTTGAGATAGTGGTTTCATTACAAGAAGTGCCACATATTGAGAGAAATTTAGGCGTAAGAGAGACACGATCAAGTGCTAGGATGTCATCACTTAAATTTCATAAATGTTGAAAATAGTTTTTTTTGGTCTCAAGTCATTTGATGTTGTTCTGTTGAACTGTCAATAATTAGATTTTAACACTATTTTGATTGGTACTCATTTTGCTAGCTCTATAAGATTCAAAAATTTTCTGTGCTCCAAAGTTGTTATTGAGAATTCTGTAATTAAAACTCAAGCAAGTAAAAGGATATGAGTTAATAGTTATTTGTTCACATAGAGTGTCTATAGCAAATCAGTGCATCATTGTGTCTAGACGAACAAATATTTGAAGCTTTACATCTTTATCTTGGTGCTAATAGAGAATAATTAAACGACATAAAGGTTAGTTGCCAATAAGATTTTGGACATGTTAAGAAAGCGATTAGATTTCCCACATAAATAGATAAATACCAACTTAAAGATCATATATGGCCTGCTTTTACCATATATAAAAATCTGGCGCTCAAGGGAACTAACTCATAATGATATTTTGGGAACCATTAAAGAAACTGTAGGTGGGTGCCCACACTAAGGGTGGAAGAAATCTCAGTTATCATATTGTATACACCTATAATGGTGAAGAAAATTCCTTTATGAGATTATATGAAAGTTGTAATGTATGCATCGATGGTTTTATTATTAGTTATATGCATCTTATATACCTTCATGTCTGCCATTTGAAGTCAAAGTATTTAAATTTTTGTTATTTGTCAATTCGCTGTATGATAATAATGACTTGTTTATCAAAGACTACAAGTTTTTAAGCTAAATCCAAAACATGACGATAATTTTTAGAGAATTTAATTGAGGTATGTCAAAGTATTTAAATTTTTGTTATTTGTCAATTCGTTGTATGATAATAATGACTTGTTTATCAAAGACTGCAAGTTTTTAAGCTAAATCTAAAACATGACGATAATTTTTACAGAATTTAATTGAGGTATTTTTTACTAAGCTTTTGTCAATAGCTTTATTTATATAAATGATTGGGCCAACCCATTAATAATGTATTTCCATGTACAAAACTTAGATTATGCTTTTCATATTTTTGGAACAACATTAAAAAAATACCACCATTTTGCAAATAGCTCTAAGATTCAAAGCATTGTATGGATAGTAGTAAATGCATACATAATACATGGATTTGGATCCAATATGTTTGCATTTTTGAGTCTCAAACCACTACTCCATATGATCTACTAAGCCTACCATATAAGTGGCCAAAATATGCATTCTTACTTAAAATTAAGAAATAATATATGAGAATCATCTAATTCATGGATTGGTAAGGTAGTTGATCTTATATATATGATTAGAGAAATGCTAATGAAGCAAATGACGCAAAAAATAAATAAATTTAGCTAAATGAAGAGGAGAGTTGGTTTCTTTTATCGCAGAGTACATTAAGGGAATTGCCGCTACAAAAGATTATTTTATAATTAGATTGTCAACTAGTTATTCACCTGATAGAAGGTCACTATAATAAACATAACGTATATATTGGCACTACATAATGTAGTTTTGAATACTTGCAAACAACCAAGTTATCATTTATACATATAGCTGCCTTTTGGGCACCGAGGGACATCAACTTTGGCATATTTATGTAGATGATCATTACTATGTTAAAATGTTACAAAAGTGTTTATGCATTGTGGATACAAGTTGGATTTTGATGGTTTTATCTCAGCACTACTAGGGAAGGATAAATGTCAATGTAATTCAAATTGTCATGTCAAAAGACATTGGGCCAAGGTGCAAGCCAAAATAAAAGTATATTTAAGAGCTTCATGGAGGGCACAAGTAAGATAATCGAAAGAGTACATAAATGTAGCTACTGTGGGATTTTTTTCCAATATAAGAGCACATGCAAAAACCCCTTAAATCAATCAAGTTTGAAAGTGGTTCATATTGGTTCAAAGAGGAAGGAATGGAAAGCTAGCTTTCAACACTTGTTTGGCACTTCATTATAATGCTTATTTTATTATTGACTCCATTTTTTTTTACCACTATATTTAATTATCAAGTTCAAAAATATGAATACATTTTTTTTTAAAAGAACACAATTTTATTAAGTAAAAGTATATTACTTAATATTATTTTTAGTACTAAAATCTAATTTATGTGAAGCAAAATTATTACAAAATTTCAATTCATCTACTAGCTTTAGATTGAAATTTCAAAATATTTAGTGTAGCTTTAAAAACAATCTTTGGCATAATGAATTGCAATTGAATATTATGCTTAGGTATATTAATCGGACTAGCTTAATTAATATATTGCAGCTTCATTGTTGTGCTCGGCTATACTATACCTTTAATGTTGTGATGTCGTTGTCCAAACATTACTCATTTTTGGAATTATGATGCATATGTCCTTCTGGAACCAAAAGAGAAGTTCACTATTACCTAAATGCCTTTAA